TCGATGCCGGGAACAGGTGCGCTCTGGGACTGGGATCGAACCGGAATCGCCGGCCTTATCGAAATCGGAGGATGGTGCCGGGATCTAAGCACTGCACTCATCCCCTCCCTGCACTTTCATCTCCCCCCTCTCCACCCCTCAGACGATCCCGCATATCGAGTTTCGCTTACCGCCTCGCCAATCAATGGACGAAATGTGAATGATTTGTTTGTTGGCATTTTGGCTGCCAATTGTCCGGAGGCTGCTACTGCTGCTGCACTTTCCCAAGCCCCGAAGAATGGATGGAAAAATGTGCAACGAGGAAATCTGATATTTTTTGTGAGACAGCCTGGAAAATTGCCGGGGACGAGGACAGGCCAAAAAAATTCGTGGTAAAAATTATGAAAAAATCTAAGAAAAACTGTCACGACTGCTAACGAGTAATGCTATCCCCGTTCGCCCTGTCGAGTCAAAGGTCGCACAAATTTGTCTCAGAAAAAACCGCTTAATTGGTAGGGGCCATGGTAGGGGTATTGGGTTTTGGGTGGGATGAGATGGGATGGGATGGGATGGGTTAAGATGGGGTTGCAGGGAGGGAGGGCAGCTGCCTGTCTGCGCCTTTGACTGACAACAGCCACACCTAAGAAAACCGGGGACGTGGCAGGAGTCCTATCGTGCTCCAAGCTGTCTGCCACTTGATTGAACCGGAAATGAGGCGCAAGTTTTGTTTTCACAGGCTGCGACCACTTGACCCCGCAGCCGCTGGCAGTGACACTGTAAAGGAGAATCAAAGTGAACCGAATCGGATACCGAGACCCCTTTTCCTCCAGCGAAATGTTTTACATCAATTTTTGGTTAATGTGCCGCTGCCAGAGGAGCATCACACTTACCCCAACTGTCAAATAATTATGACAAGTTCATTTCGTCGCACTTTCGCTCATTTGTTTGGCTCTCATTCGAGTGTGCGTTCGCATCTATTTTTTCCCAATTTTAAAAAGAATTCCTGTAAACGAAGGCGGGCACCAAAGAAAAACTCAGACCGGGACCCGGCCCGCACCAATTACCGGAGCGTTGTAAGATGCTCGGGGGCTTTTGATGTGACAGATGCGTGTCCGTGTCGCTTCCGAGGTGTATTGCTCCATCTACCCGCTGTTTCTCCATATATTTGTTCCCTCAGAAGCCCCTTTCGATTCTTTTATTTCGATGTCGCTTCTTAAAAGTATGCTATGATTTGCTCAAACTCTATATGTTTGTTTTAAGTAAATTCGAAAAGTTGCAATGTGTTACACACTCTGATGAACCTAAGCATTAGGGGCAAATAGATTGTATATATTCTAAAACCACTTTCGCTTTCCAGAGCATAGACTTATGAAATATATTAATAACAGATTGTATACTTATTTCATTTGCGCTACTCATCGATTCCGAGTAATTACTCAACGAAAGTTGCCTAGGAGAGAGTTGCGCACTATATTTAGTTTAGTGGTGGCTATCTATAGACCCATGGTGGCTCAAAATATGCTGTCGAAAGTGACAATTGATTGCGTGCAGACCTTTTGTTTCCGACTGGGTTATTTCGGGATCTGTCACCATTCAAATTTAGAGCAGAAGACAACAATGAGTCATGAGGCTGGAGGGCAGACAAAGCAAATCCCTTTTAAAATGGCCAAAACACGGTACAAATATTTGCCATCATTAGAGAGCATTAGAGATCGGAATCCAGCGGAAAGGAAGGACAACCATCCATCCATCAGGTTGCTCTAATTTTGAGTAGCACATCTTCATCTGCTGACAGGCGACATAAAGCAGAACCCAAAAAGGACTAAGCAGCGTCGCCATTTGAGCGGATTATGAGAGCCTCTAGCAAAACTGGAACAAAACAGGTCCGAGGAGGGCCTTAGGGATAAACCTTCTCCGCCCTTCTGCCCAGCCTTATCCATTGCTGTAATTCAAGCATGATGCATGCAAATTTATGCCATACGTTTTGTGGTTTAGCCTTCGGATATGACGTCACACTCAGGACTCAACAGAATTATGTCAGGCGAAAAGCGGGCGATAAGCTTTCTTAACATGGTGCACCCCGAAGGGAATCGGAATGTTTTGGCAATGGATTCAGGAAAGGATATTCGGTCCTGTAGTTTTTGTATTTAGGAACAAAAGAAGCATTCTGCTGAATAATTGTTATTAAAACTAGAAAAATCTAAAAACAATTATAAATTATAAATTATATTTATAAAGCGATAATATTTAAAAATAATATGATAGCACAATATATTTAATGTGTAATTTTTGTACTTTTGTAAAATTGTTGAAAACACGTTCTTCAATTTGTTTTAACTTTTAAGATGTAATTAACAAATACAAATATTTTGATTTAAGAATCCAACGAACAAAAATCATAAAAAAAATTATATGAAAAAAGGAACTTCTTGTTATCATATGCCTGCAGAGGGTATTTCCTTTTTGGTCAGGAGTTATCTAGACTTGTTAAAATGCTCTTCACAGGAAAGTTTCTGCCCATATATTTAAGTTGATTTAGTTTAAATATCTGCTTATCTGCGTATAAACGATTGAGAAGAATTAGCTCACATAAGACCAGTGATATAATAATGTTATAAGTTTTAAGCGATAACTGCATCATTTGATTCTTTCCTTATCAAAAGGAGTTACCGAAGTGACATTGACAGCAAGTCAATGTGATCGTCATCGAACTCAAAACTCGTGCCAGTCTCCAGAAAAAGATTGCAGATCCAGCTCTAAGTTTGTTTATTGACTTTGTCTCGACCACGGCTACTGAAATCCTGCTCAACTCAGCGCTGGCGAAACTTCGAGTAAACAAACAAACAAGTTTATTTGCTGGAGCGGTTGAGCCCCCGATAAATGACTCAATCTCAGACAGGAACAGGTAGGTGTATAAGTATATGTATATCCCCTCCGGACAGAGAAAGATGCACTTCCTGTGCCACGCCCAGGGAAACATTGCCGTTTAATCCGGAGGACAAAGCGGATTAACAGCAGGGAGATAGAATGCAAGGCTCGAAGATTATGTTGTAGAAATGTCGTTGGGCATTTGTACCAGAGGAATATTGGGTTGAGGTTCGGGGGGATATTTATGTCACCCCCCTGCATTTAATTTTAATTTTTGGGACATTGCCAGGGCGTGGCTGAAATGGAGCAGCCACGGACAGCCATAAACGAGAAACGAATTAAAATTGTTGGTCGAAAACCCGCAGAGCCAGAAGTCCTGCGGGCAGCGCAAACAAATCGGGGCTGAGGCACTGAAGGACCAGAACCAGGACCCCCAACTGGAACCCCTGCTCCTGCTCCTGATCCTGCTCCTGTCCCACTCCTGCCTGCATTGTTTGTTGTTATAAAGGCGAACGAAAAGCGCAAGGCATCTGCACGGCGTCGTCCTTTTGTACATTTCGCTGCTGCTGCTGCTGCTGCTCCTTTCTGCCACTTCTCAAATTTCAATGAAATTATCCTCACGGCATTTGTCTGCCCCTCTCTCTCTCTCTCGCGCACACCATCACTCTCGCCATCCCGCTCCCTGCTCAACAATGCCGAATAAATGTTTTTCGCCGAAATTATTTGCTAATGGCTCGTCCTTTTTGCATTTGCATTTATGAGAATTTCGCGTTGTCTCCGATGCTGTCAAATAGATACTCGAATGGAAAATGGCGGCAGCTGACGCTTTTGTGGCAGCGTTTTTGGCTTTCTGCCTTCCTTCCGCCCGCCATCGATGGCGGCCATTTTGTATGGCCGGTGGCAGGAAAAGTTGTGTTTGTGTTTGCCTTTGAGTTTGAGTTTGCGTTTGCCCTGGCAACGAGACAACAACATCGCAAATTGCTTTGCCCGGGAACTTTGCTCAAGTTACGCAGGACTCAGAGGTCTCGGAGTTGCGGGGGAACTGTCTAGGCAACGCGGGATCTTAATGGAAAGGAACTCAATTAGAGGCAAAGGAAACCGGGGTACGGCGAACTAGAGCACAACTGTCAATCAAAACGGGATTCAACAGAAATTCCGATCTGCAAATCTCTCGCTCTTTTTGACCTAGTGCCTTCTCGAGCTGATCCTTTTTGCGGTTTTATTTCTGGTCAAATGATTCCGTCTCGATCGACAGGATATCTGCCTAAGGCCTTTTGTGCGCACTTAAGCTGAAAATTCCCTTTTGACTACTGCCTGTCTGTCTGTCTTTTGTGTCCTGCGTTTAAGGATCAGCAAATGCGCAGTAGCATCTTTGATTTCTTACAGCTCACTGTGCAGTGAGCTTATCTCCTGAAATCAACTGCAACTATTTTCCCTTTCGCAGCCCAGAAGCACGCATTAAAGGATCGTAATTATGAGTACTTGATGCGGAAAAAATGATTGGGAGCACTCGGAGTCAGGTCTCAAGAATCCTAATAGTTGGCTTCGACTTAGGATTGGCTTTGTTTTGGATTATAATTTGAAAAAAAAGTGCTGATTATGCAATATATGTGTGGCCTATGCAATAATAAAGTCAAGGGGAAAATAAAATCTTATGAGAGGCTGTAGTCAGGAGAGTAATTTAAAATTAAACTGAAAAACAAACAGAAAAGCTATATTTTCAACCTTAAGATTCTGGACGCCTTTTCCGCCATCACTATAAATATTTAGCGATTTAGGATTTTATGCATTAAAATATAGAATATATGCATTTACCTTAGGAGCCAGGTTCAGAAAAACCTCAACAAAACTAGTCCAGATGATGCCTCAATAGCCAACCGAAGAATGGACAAATCAATATACGTACATTTGTCACAACTTTTTTGAGGAGCTATTATATATAGTCCTGCCATTCATTTCATTTTCATTTAGATAAATATTTTTATATTTAGACAATTCGTCCTAAATTTATGGGGAGTTTAGAATCGGGATAGAATCGATGAAATACGAAAACTTCTTTGTAAAAAGAACTAATATCGGAAAACATATTTCACTAGTTTTTTCCATTTTAAAATGACCGACAAGGGTCTTCGGATATTAAAAACGCTACTCACTTTGTAGTAATCCAGCGTTGAGAAGTTTTGATAGCACGGCACATTATACAACATATTCCAAGTGTTGTGGCTGTTGTTGTCGCTGCTCCTGCTCCCCAATGCCTGGAACTGCGGATCCTGGACCAGTGGAAATGTCAAACGGTCAACGGGAAAGGCTTCACTTCCATGGCATATGTGTGAGGTACGTTGCAGGCAGGATTAGATATTCACGCTCGAAATGCACACACAGGTCAATTGGGAAATGTTGCAGTGCTTCTTGCTGATTGCTGATTAATTAAGCCAATTCTGTTTTATTGCACGAGGCGCGCGACACAAACGAAAAAGCGATGGATGAACACCCAATTGCGTTAAGTGAGCAGTTCCGTTTCGCAAATTAATTTGTGCCAAATTAATTTTACGATGTGAATTGTTTTTTGTTGTGTTTTTTTTATGGATTGGCGCTGGGCCGACGGGGGAAAGCTCCGAATTGATTGCCCTTAGTGGTTAACTGTGGTCCGCTCTCGCCACGAATGTCACATAAAGCTGCGTGTCAACTGATTCGACTTCGTCGAAAAGCGCTCATCGACGGGTCTCGATCGCAAAGCTGACCGTCGTCGCCATGCGGGTTTTGAGTGAGTTTCTCTGCCGCGCACTGGCCAATCGCAATCCTCCCAGTGCTGCTCTCCCGCTCGCACCCTCGCCCGGTGGCGGCGCTCTGAGTGAGTTTTTTTCTGTGAGGGCGGTGCGCCAGGATTCGCTTTCCACTCCAGCCCGTAACGGAACATTTCGGAAGGGATGCGAGCAGCAGAGTCCCAGACATAAGTATATCCGTTGTTTTCCGAAAACAGGTTGGTAGCTCTGGGAATAGGTAATTGTTGTATCTAAAACAATTTCATTTAAAGTTAAGACCACCTTCTGATAAAGATCCGAGTCGATTTACTAGATTCCACAAGAAAGTTGGCAGCTCTGAGAGTTAGGATAGGGTTTCCTGTTCGGAAGGGATGTGTTTAATTACTCGGCGTAATAGTAACATTTTTCCGATTTTGCTGATTTGGTATTCTACCTTAATTTTTAGAATATAGAAGCAACATTAATAATTATTGTTCAATACAATATCTCCTCATTTATGCATAATCGCACTCTAACGGAAACTTTTTTCTGACCTGTGCCATCTGTGGTAATTTGGATAAATTTCCATCGACAAGATCATATATAGAAAGCTTTTTTAATATTTGATTAATTTGAAAAATTATAAACCACTCATTTCAAAAGTAATTTAAAACATTTAAAACATTTTAAAGTTGAGTACATTTTTATTTCATACCTAACTTCATGGAGCTATCTATTTTCAGGAACTCAACAGTACACATATGTAGGTACCTACTTCTAAATTTATTATCATTCCAAAGAAAGTTGGCAGCGCTGCGAGCTTGGTGCTAGGGCTTCCTGGAAGCCCTTCTTTTTTTCTGGGGACCCTTCCACGAACGGTTCTGGTTCTCGGTCTCCTTTTTTCCGGCCCTCTAGCTAACCCAATTTGGCAACACTTGATTGGGCGCCAGGCGAAATGTCGACTTGCATTAGTCTGACCAGCTTTAGGTTATTTCGGACAGCTCCAAGCCGCTGGTCTTTAGCCAAAAATCACAGCGCAGACTAGGAGACAAACGACCGTCCCGTCCCTCTTCTGCTCCCCTCCCCGATTGCGTTTTTTTCGGACTGGCGTCTGGACGCCGACGACAACGATCTTGGAGCAAGTTATCCCTGCACGGCTCAGCGCATCGCGACAGTTGTTAACGTGTTTAATTAGCCCTGCAAAATCAATGAATTGCGACAGTAACAGTTAGGCTTAACAACACAACAGCCGCCCCAGCCCCCCTTCCCCCCGGGCACTCCCTTTCCAAATATTTGTGCAGCCATTTTGAATTGTCCTGCTCTTCGGAGGAATCCTCCCCCGTCAGCTGGCGGGGATTTAAGGACGCATGCGCACGGAAAAGCACTCAAAGTGAGTTTTGGAGGTGTTAAATTGGGTTTTGGGGCATGGGGTGGGTGTTGTTTGGGCGTCAGCAGGGCGTGTTCCTAATTCCAACTGAATTTAAGCTGCAAACTACAATGTGGCTTTAAATTGGTTCCTGCCGGGGAAGCGAAACAACTTCCCCTAATGAGTTAGATAAGATGGGCTCGGCACGATTTGCAAATTACAGCGCAGGGAAATCATTAGTAATATGCATGAGTATTAATATATATGATGGCCCGGATATCAGTTACAATTCTGCTTCTAATTAAAGTTTAATAAGTAAACTATGAATATAATTATATAGATTTTGTTAAATATGTTATTAATCAAGTAAGAATGTTATAGGCCCAGGAATTTCGTTTTTCTTTCAGCTTTGTATTAAGCTAAAAACAATAAAATGTATTTCCATAGCACAAAACTTCCTTAACTTAATGTCTATATTAGTCAAACTGTTTTTATCAGCCATGGAGAACAGAAATAGATTTAAAACACATAAACATCCACTACCGATTTCACTAATCTAAACAACTTTTTATCCAAGTAAACTTATAAATTATTGGGAAAACCGAGCTTTGACTTTAAATGGATTTGACTTTCAACTTGTGGCCTGCGCCCAACATCCACTCCCTCAATTTACTTCAATTGGATTTGCTCTTAGTTTTTTTGAACAACCATTTGTTTTTTTTTGTGGTCGGAGGAATGTTTTCATTCATAAAACTCGAGCGACGACTGCTGGATAATAGGATTATGCCGGCAGCACACACGTGCTCAGAGGCGAGTCAGGGGCCCCAGCCTCAGCCCCTCCTTGATGTCCAGCTCCAGCTCCATCTCCATCTCCAGCCTCAGCTCCAGCTCCATCCGTCTCCGAATACAGCTTCAGATGGAAGCTCAGTTGGCCTTCCTGGGTTCGAGTTAAGTGCAGAAATGCATCAGCAAATGCCGAACGTCGGGTCTCAAATGCTCGCTGCCTCTTTATGGCCCTGGCTCTTATTATTAGTGACGGATTTCCGAGTCATTAGACAAAGTTATGTCTTGGACCACCGCGTCTGTTTAAGCTACTTAAGTGCGCCGCCCACGGCTCGAAGATCGAAACTGGACTGCAGTGGGCAGCGATTGCTGGAGGGGAGTTGGATTGGCCTGCTCATGTCGTAATTGACAGGTGTCAGCTTGGGGCCTTAACCAGTTCAGCATTTAGTAAGCGAATAAACTGATAAATGCCAACGATTGTCGGACCGAATGCGACGCATTAATTTCCAGGGGAAAGGCTTTCTTCCCGGACCTCGATCGCCCTTCGGGGCATCGTTCACCCACGGCACTTAAACACAAATCAATAACTTTATTATACAAAAACAAACACCCGGCCAGTTGGATCCCTCTTGTGGCTTGCTTTACGAGCTGAAAAGCGTCTTGTTTAACTGTCCGGACAATGAGCGCCCGCTGGGCGCGTTAAGAAAAAATCACTTGGCATCGGAGCTGGCGACAGTGAGAAGGAGACGGAGGCGGAGGGCCGGACCCGGAGCCCAATGGGGATACAAGAGCGTAGGGTCCCCATCCCTCCCCCTCTGACCCGGCGAACGTAATTTATGGCCAACGTGTTCGGTCCAAGCGCCAGTTGACAGTAAGTCACCATCGGGAAGAGCCCACAGCCAGCTGTCTGGATGAGTCAGCGCTGAAAGGTGGTGGGTTTCCAGAGACCAACCCATTGCAGGGAGCAACTTATCGATGGAAACTATCACAGGGATAACGACCAGCTTTAAGTTATGGACTCCTTTGTCTCATGGAAATAGCTGAAAGTACACAACTCTAAGTATAACTCAACTGTGACTAATCCAATTCGATGACAAGTTTTTATTTTGGATTACATTTTTAAGAACATTAGCATTAATATGATCGTTAATAAAAAGAATTAATAATATTTGTACGGCACTATTTATCAGTTAAAATATATCTATATACATATATAACTACACAAACATTTTTTTAATAAATTCGTTTTTTGTCTTACTATACATTACATGTTAATTTAACGCATTGCTATATAATTTTTATAAAACATTATTGTTTTTTTCCTACACAATACCAAAAGTTTTTACAAAAAGTAAACAAAAATGGAGTGTTTTAAAAGGAAAAGTTAAAAGTTAAGAAATGTTCTTACCCGAAAATGCCAAATTAAATGTTTGACATTAGGGAGTCTTAAAATATAAAAATAATACCTCTAGGAATTGATAGAAATGTCCAATAAGTTGAAAGTTGAAATCGTGAACAATAAAATAAAACGGATCTAAAATCTTAATAACAATTCCAAATGACTAAAATGCAATTGCCATTGCACCTGTTGATTATAAGCACCCACATAGGCAGCAATCTCGAAAGGAAACTCCTTTCGTCGTCGTTATTATTATTGTTGATTTTGCTGCCCTTGTGATTGTTGCTGTCGTCCACATACCTAACACACTGAAGTTTATTGACTTTTGTATAGACATTCTCGTTTGTGGATTTGGCTGATGTTTCTTTTTTGTTTAGCCGCGGGCAATGTAAACGGCGCCAGATTTCGATTTCGAGACAGTCACCAATACTCGCCCCATCGCACACACACTCATAACTGGTTATTTTCCAAAAGGGTCATGTGTCATACAGTAAAGCAGCAGGGCCACAAGAAAAATAGAAAATTACACAACATAAATAAATAAATAACGTCTAGAGCGAAAAAATCAACTCGCTTTATAAAAGTTTTCAGTGTGAGGTATCCTTTAAAATACATAAATATATTATTTTACTTTTTGAATTTACATAGCATTATCAGCGTTTTAAATCTATTAAAGCAACAGTGTCGCATATGTTAAATTAACTGAAATATTGTATTCTTTTCAAAGGGAAGTGTTTCCCACCCTATGAGGTATATTTACTATTTCCCTTTTTTGCCGATTATTCCTGTAGGAGCTGAATAATATAGTGACTTATATACTAAGTTAAACAGAAATATTACTTTTAGCAAAGTAAAATAAAATCGTTATTTATGGTTCGATCGACGTGTCTGGTGATACTGATCAAGAATATATACCCTTATAGGGTCGAAAATGTGCCCTTCACTGCGTTACAAACTTTTGACTGAAATTATCTGATCTTTTTTAAATTATTAAATTTACAGCAAAATTATTAATATTCTTGGAGTTGAAGTTAGGCTGGTAACTTTCAATTGATTTCAAACTGAGTTTTTCATATGGTGAGGCTTATCAATCCATACTAAATAACAAAAATACTACATGCAAACACAGCTAGTTATGGAAATGACATTTAAGTGGCTCTAATTGGTGTTGGATGACCATCCTCTTGCCTCATTTTGGCGATATAAACAAAGTCTGATCAAATGCTCGTTCAAACGATTACTATCACTTCTACCCGAGCATTCCCCAGAAATTAACCAAAGCCACCGTGCTTTACACATTCCATAAAACCCAATCAAATATGTAAACGCTGAAAATCCGCCAGTCGGCATACATCCACCCCCGGAACCGCATATCTGGCACATT